AAAACTGAATGAGGAAGAAATAGAAAATTTGAACAGATTGATTACTAGCAATTAAATTGAGTCAGTAATCAAAACATAAAGTAGAAGTCCAGGACCAGATGTCTTCACAAATTCTACCAAACTGTTTCAAAAAAAGAGAAGAGGAAGTAAAGCTTCCAAATACATTCTATGAGTCCAGTATTACTCTGATACCAAAAACACTACAAAAAAGAAAACTACAGGCTAATAGCCCTGATTAACATGGATGCAAAAATCCTTAACAAAATATTAGCAAATCACATTCAACAATACATTAAAAGGATCACTCACCACAATAAAGTGGGATTTTTTCCTGAAGATGCAAGAAGGAACGAATATTTACAAATCAACCAATGTGATACAAAATGAAGGATAAAAATCATATGATCATCTTAACAGATGCAGAAAAAGAATCTGATAAAATTCATCATTTGTTCATGATAAAACTCTTAACAAAGTGGGTTTAGAAGGAATATACCTCACCAAAATAAAGGCCATATGTGAAAAACCCACAGCAAACATCTTACTCGGTGAAAAATGAGAGATTTTCCTCTAAGATCAGCAACAAGACAAAGATGTCTACCCTTGCCACTTGTATTCAACATAGTACTGGAAGTCCTAGCCACAGAAATTAGACAAGAAAAATAAATTAGAGGCATCCATATTGGTAAAGAAGTTAATTTGTACTATCACTACTTGTCACTTTTTGTAAATGACATACTATATATAGAAAATCCTAAAGACACAGAAGACATGAATAGATATTTTTCCAAAGAAGACATACGGACAGACTAATAGACACATGAAAAGATGCTCATCATCACTCATCAGGGAAATATAAATCAAAACCACAATGAGATATCTCACCTTACACCTGTCAAAATGGCTAAAATCAAAATGACAAGAAATAACTAGTGTTGGTGAGGATGTGTAGAAAAGGGAGCCCTCATACACTGTTGGTGGGAATGTAAATTGGTATGCTACTGTGGAAACAGTATGGAGGTTTCTCCCCAAAATTAAAAACAGAAATGCCATAAGATCCAATAATTCCACTACTGGGTATTTACCCAAAGAAAAGGAAAACACTAATTCAAAAAGATAGATGCACTCCTGTGTTTATTGCAGCATTATTTAAAATAACCAAGATATGGAAGCAGCCAAAGTGTCCATCAATAGAAAAATGGATAAGATGTGACACACACACACACCAGAATATTACACAGTCATAAAAAAGGATGAGATCATGCTATTCATGACAACATGGATGGACCTAGAGGGTATAATGTTAAGTTAAATAAGTCAGACTGAGAAAGACAAACACCATATATTTCACTTATATGTGGAATCTTAAAAAAAAAAACAACAACAAAAGCAAAATCAGACCTGTAAACACAGAGAACAAACTAATGGTTGTCAGAGGGGATGGGGCAGGGAGATGGGAAAAGTTAGGGTGAGGGGGAGTGGGAGAAACAGGCTTCCAGTTATGGAATGAATAAGTCACAGGAATAAAAGTCACAGCATAAGGAATATAGTCAATGATATTGTAATAGTGTTGTATGGTGACAGATGGGAGCTACACTCATGATGAACAGAGCATGATGTATAAACGTGTCGAATCACTATGCCATACACCTGAAACTAAGGTAACATCGTGTGTCAACTATACTTAAATTTTAAAAACTTTAAAAAAAAAAAAAAAAAAAACACCCTACGCTAGCAAGGATGCAGCCAGGTACCTGGACCCAGGGGCTGGGGTTGGGGGTAGGGTAAATAGTATGAATTACTTCCTAGCAAGCCACTAGGAAATACAAAAGGGTGCCACTTGTCTCCCACGGGGGTCACTACTCCAGGGTTATCCCTCTACTGGCCTCAGCAGCCCCGTTCAAATACAACGTTCTAGTCACTCTTTTGGTTTCCAAACGCATGTTCTCTCACCTCCACATGCTGTTCCTTCTGCCTGGAGCACTTTCTTCACCTCTTCCCCAGCCAAATCTCACTCACCCTGCAGGGGACTCAGCTTACACATTACCTCCTACAAGAAGCCCACCAAACTGACCCCTTCTCAACTAGGTCAAGAGCCTCCTCTGTCCTCAGAGCCCTGTGGGCTTCCACCATCACGGCAGCGGTTACTCTGGATCTGTGTTCCCCCGTGACACACATTTCCAGAATAGGCACATTGCAGCATTATATAGGAGTGAAATCTCTTTTTGGAGAAAGAGGTGCGTTCAATGTAGTCTTGGGGCCTTGAAGAGAGGGGTAGAGATCCAGTTTGGGGTCAGCGTTTGAAAGAACATTCTAGGGGCGCCTGGGTGGCTCAGTCGTTAAGCGTCTGCCTTTAGCACAGGTCATCGTCTCAGGGTCCTGGGATCGAGCGGGCTCCCTGTTCAGTGGGAAACCTGCTTCTCCCTCTCCCACTCCCCCTGCTTGTGTTCCCTCTCTCTCTGTCAAATAAATAAATAAAATCTTGAAAAAAAAAAAAAAAAGAACATTCTAAGAATTCTGCCTCACTAACCAGCCTGAGCTAGGACCAGATTTGAGGAACTGAGCGACCTTGGATTGGAAAACAGCACCACCTGGTGGTACCTGTGTGGAATAGCACCTTCCTTCATTGGTTCATTCAACATTTATTGCCAACACATGTAGTGTTTGCGGTATATTTGACAGAGGGGATCATTTTTAATACCTCCCTATAAAATTATTTTCAGTGATAATCATAAAATAAAACAATGATGACCATAAAAGAAATGCAAACAGTGAAAATGTACTTCCCTTCTGAAAGAAAACTATGTAATAATGTAAATGATTGTCCAGTCACTAACAAGCAAATTGTAATAAAACTGAAATATCTGCAAACACTACAATTCAGGAAGCCACAAAATCTTGCCACTGATGTAATTTTTTTCTTGATTTGTTCGTTAGTTTTAAAACAATTTAAAAACAATGCTTGCACCTTAATGGTGTTACTCAAATTCAGTAATATAGTTCACGTGTGAACTAATATGCACATTTACCAACTAAAAGCCTTACAGGTCATGTTTTTCCAGACTTCACTGTTTTAAATATTAAGCACAAAATCTCCAAATGGTCACCCAGAATGACAAAATGGAAGTAATATGAGCTTGTGTGTTTTATCTTTACAATCAGTGTTTGTCCCTTTTGAATCCAAATGCAGGAATAGATTGTCTCCCAGGACTTGGAGACCCTCAAACAATTCCAAACCATTATAAATTTACTCTCCAAATGAACGCACATAGCCAAGAGTCTTGGTGTGTCTGGAGTTGAGGGCACAACTGGGGGTTCTCTGAATTAATTTTCATGTAGAGTACAAAGTGCATCCAAGAATATGCTAATATGAGGCTTACACATAAATTATTAAAACTCAACAGTAAATGGTGAAATGAGAGTAAGGTCTGTACCTAATAATCCCAATGTAAAGTTCCTAGCTCTGGGGTCTTCTTGCCAAGTGTCACCAACCTAGGCCTCATGCTCCCACTCCACACAAGAGATAAAGCCCCCGTCCTTCCCCGATAGTTCCACAAAACAGCCACAGGATTTCTAAACCTCCACAAACAAAAAGAAAACTTGCCTTCCCAAAAGCTGCAGAAAATCTCTTTGCCTTTCCCTGGCTCGGAGTGGGTTTCACGGCTGCCCTTGAGCCAGTTGCTCTAGAGAATGAGACAATGGCTTGGAACTGGGGATGGGGCCAATCACAGCTGAGGAACAGGGAGCAAGTTGAGAAAAGAAACACAGGAGCCTGGCTCCATTTCACTCGACCTGTTGGGTTCTGTGCTCCAACATCCAATTTTCCATGTGGGGAGTGCTCGCTTTAGCAGCATATATACCAATTTTCCATGCGGGAAAACTGAGGCAGCAAGAGGTAGGGGACAGGACTTCTCAGTAGGACTGAGCCGGCACTTGGGACACCAGGTAATGAAGATCCCAGCTGTGGCTGTCTGGGTCCAGGGAGGAAGGTGGGGCAGCTGAGTAGGGTTCTGGGTGATAGAATCACCTGAAGACACTTTAAGACGCACCAATGTTGGGGCGTGGGGCGTGGGGGGAGGGGTTGGCATTTGTTAAAACCTCTCCAGGTGATGGGATGCCTGGGTGACTCAGTCGTTGGGTGTCTGCCTTCGGCTCAGGTCATGATCCCAGGGTCCTGAGATCAAGCCCCGCATCAGGCTCCCTGCTCGGCGGGAAGCCTGCTTCTCCCTCTCCCACTCCCCCTGCTTGTGTTCCCTCTCTCGCTGTGTCGCTCTCTGTCAAATAAATAAATTCTTAAAAATCTTAAAAAAAAAAACCTCCAGGTGACGCTAACAAGCAACCAGCATGGAAAGCACTCACCTCACTCAATCCACAAAGACAGGGAAGCGGAGGCCCGGGGGCGCACCTGTCTCAGTTCCTGACTCTGCCATAGCTCCTCACTTGTACAAAGATGTCCTCAGGGCGGAGAAGTGGGAAGACCGGACCCCAAAGCCCTGGGGACCACGCCCGGGCCCACCAAGAAAAGCTGTTTTCAGGCACTTCTCACTGACCCCTTCCAATGACCCAGCCCCTTTCCTGGTCCCCCTCTTCACCCCAGAAAAGATGAGGGACTCAAACAAGAGAGAAGCTGAGTTTATTACAATGATTGAGGTCTTGCCACTTGAGAGTTCCTGGAGTCTTCCGCTTCAGAGCCCAGAGGAAGGAGACTCCTTATTGTAAGCAATGCACCCTCAGCTCAGGGTTGCCCAGTAGATACCAGCCCAGGAGCAGGTTATACAATCCCACCCTCCCAGGGCCTTCCCTCCTCCTCCAGCCAAAGAGGACAGGTGACCAGGCGGGGAACACTAGATCGGTATGGGCCTGAGGCCTTAGCTGCCTGCCCTACCACAGCCCAGCTGGTTTGGGGAGAGGAGCTGAACTGACTTCAGCCAAACCGGAGGTCCTAGGGTGGGGCTGAAGCTGGGGCATCGCAGCTTGCAGACCCCAAGGCAGGCTGGAGCTCAGATAGAAGCAGCCTCAGTCCCCTTTCCACACCCTGGGGGGCCTTCAGACTTGCTTGCCATACTGTAGTAGTAGGCCCGCATGCGCTGCTCCACGGCCTGGAAGTCTGGGCGGTCCTCCCACCTGTGGGGGTAAGGTAGATCCAGGCCACTGACCACATGCCCACAACCCAGCTTCGGCTGGAGAGTAGACACAAAGGGGGCTCAGAAAATCAGTGGGGTTGTCAGGGTGTGGACTTTGGGGTAATGGAGAGGTTTCTTGAATATAAGAGGACTAGAATTCAGGTGTTGCCGTACCATGTAATAGAAGAGCTGCCGACATACAGGATGTTGGGGGAACCATCTGTTGAGTGTTAACTGATGAAGACTTAGGGAATTGAATTCATTGAGTGTCGGGGTAACAACTATCAACCAACGGGAGCTGGGATATTGAATGCTGAAGTACTGCACATGTGCCAAGGGCCAGTATATTGGGTGCTAGGTGCGGGCTTATATGGGTGCAAGGATGCTGCCCCTAATCTAGCAGAACATTGGAGCATTGACAGTGGGTTCAGCTAGTGGGGAGTTAGGCTATTAAAGATGCTAGCCTCTTTCAGTATTGGGCTGTTGGTATACTGAGTATTTCCCAATGGGGGCCAGGTTAACATATGTTGGATGGACTGATCATTTATTATTTATCATAAACAGGGTGTCTATTTAATCAGGTGCCTTAGGTGTTTGGGTGTCAATGTCATAGGTGTTGGCCAGTGGAATAATGGATGCTGGGATAGGAAAGGTATCAAATGTTAGAATATCCATGCATTGCATGGCTCAGTGTAGGACAATGGCTTTTTTGGGTGCATGCTGCCTATCTTCTGATGGGAGGTTGAAATACCAATGATTTTAGGAGTTGGGGTGTTCAAGTGTTGACTTTGAACACCAGACAGGGGTGGAGGTTTTGAATATATTGAGTGTTTGGGTTGCTGTAGAGGTTGCCTGTGAGAGTAAATAGGTGTTGAATGTTGGGGGACTGAGGAATTAGACTGGAGTATTATCCCATGCCCTGACCACTGGTACCATATTTTGGGTAAAAGAGTACTGATTTGTTTGAGAATGTGTTGAGTGTAGGCTGGTGGGGGACAGACGTTTTAGATGCTGGAGCACTAGATGTCTACAGGAGGTGGTGTTGTGATGTTGGTCCATCAGAGCACTCTAGGGTCAGTGTGTTGAGGCACTGAGTATAGGTGCAGAAAGTAAAGGTACCGAGGGTTGGAAAGGCTGTGAACTGGGCGAGTCTTGGGTGGGATGAGTTTTGGACTGTTGGGCACCATGACCTCCAGCCCCAGGTCCAGGTGTTGGTTCAGCTGGGTATGCTTCCCACCCACTGGCACTCACTTGTAGATCCAGCAGTCATTCATGAGTGTATACATTTCAGGCGGACACTCTGCCGGGCACTCCATCCGCTTGCCCTGCTCGATGAAGGCTATGACCTCGGGGCCCTTCATCTTCTGCTCGAGCCAGAGCCAAGTACAAATGTGAGTAACGGGGGCCAACTCACCCGCACACCCCTTCCCACCCACCTACCCGCCTCTGCCCACGCCTGCCTTGTAGGGCTTCTGGCCATAGGAGAAGGCCTCCCACATGGTGACCCCATAACTCCAGACGTCACTGCGGCTGGAGAACTTGCGGAAGTTGAAGCACTCAGGCGCATACCACTTGAGCGGCCACTTCCCTGCCGAGCGGGCCTGAGAATGGGGAGATGCTGCCAGGGCAGGGCTCAGGGACCCTCCACCCACCAACCTCATCCACCTGGGTGCCAAAGGGGTGGGGGCTCACAGTGTAGTAGCTGTCGTCGGCACCCAGTGCCTTGGAGAGACCAAAGTCACTGATCTTGGCGTAGTGCCGGTTGACCAGCAAGACATTGCGGGCCGCCAGGTCACGGTGCACAAAGTTTTTCTCTTCCAGGTATTTCATCCCCATGGACACCTGGTGCAGCAGCTCCGCCACATTGCTGATGGGGATCTCCTCTCTGGGGTACAGGGGAAGGCAGGGTCAGCTGAGAGGGGACAGCCCAAGTTCCCAAGGGGGCAAAGCCCACTTCTCTGACCCAGCTGAGGATGTGTTCAGCAGGTGCTTGTTGGACATCTGCTGTGTGCCAGGTATAGGGCTGGGGATATGGTGGGGAGATGAACAAAAAAGGCAAAAACCTCTGTCCTCATCTAGTCTCAAGGTTTTACATTTCTCCCACATACTATGATTCCCAAACTTACACATTGACCTGCATCCTCTATATGCCCTTAGGGGAGATGTCTCACGGGCATCTCGAAAATAATAAAGACAAAGCTAGGGCCGCCTGGGTGGCTCAGTCGTTAAGCATCTGCCTTTGGCTCAGGTTATGATCCCAAGGTCCTGGGATCGAGCCCCGCATCAGGCTCCCTGCTCAGCAGGGAGTCTGCTTCTCCCTCTCCCACTCCCCCAACCTGTGTTCCCTCTCTAGCTGTGTCTGTCTCTGTCAAATAAATAAAATCTTAAAAAAAAATCTATTTAAAAAAAAGACAAAGCTAAGTTCCTGATTGTTCACACACACACACACACACACACACACACACACACACAACCAGCTCTCCCCACTGTCCCCTTTCTTCTCCAGCAGCTACTTCCTTTCATTTACCTGGGCCAGAGCACTAGCCTTTCCATCAGCTCCTCTGTCTCACACTCAGCTTCCAATCTGTCAGCACTCCCTGGCTGCTCTGCCTTCAGAATCCCTTCAGAATCCTCCTACTTCTCTCCACCTCTGCTTCTGCCACCAGGGCCCAGCCCTCATCATCATTAGCCTGGACCAAAAGTTAGCCTGGACCAGAACAGTCACCTCTGCCCTAACGCCCCATGGTCTGTCCCCACACAGAAGTCAGGTCTGGCCGCTCCCCTGCTCAGAGCCTCCCAGGGCTCCCACCTCACTTGGGGTAAAAGTCCAAGGTCTCCCCATGGCCCACAAAGCCCTGCATGATCTGCCCCATCACCTCCCTACCACATCAGCTCCCCCTCTCCTCTTCACATACTCTGCTGCAAGCACAGGGCCTTCCTCACAGTTCCTCAACTACTCCTGGCACAAGCACACTTCAGGGCCTTTGCACTGGCTGTGCCCCCAGCCTGGACCACTCTTCCCCACAGCTGCACTTGGCTGCCTCCTTCAGTTTACACAGACCTCAGCTTCTCACTTTTCATCTCCCACCCTGACACTCCTAATCATCTTTTTTATAGGACTTATTGTCCAACATACTCTCTGTTGTATTATAATTATTCTTGAAAACCTCTCTTGCCAACCAGAACACAGGACAAAGATCTTTGTCTCTTTTGTTCACTGATGAATCCCAAGGGCTGGTAATAGTCCCAATTACAGAGAAATTGCACAGTAAACACCTGTGGAACAACTGACCGTGTGAGCCAGGTTACACCACAAACACATGCACCAGTGGGGATGGGAGGTGATAGGCCCACGCCTCAGTGAGTGTAAAAGATCGTGTCTACGAGGGTAAGAGTTGGAGGCATGAGGACATCTTGCTGTTAACGGCTCTGCCTTGTGGGTGTGAGTGTGGGCGTCAGGGTGTGCAGAGGGTGGGGGCAGGAGTCAGTGAAAACAAGTGTGTGCTCATGGATGGATGAGCCTGCGAGGCCCCCAAGCTCCACGTGCCCAGCCCACCCCGGGGCTCACTTCTTCCCGAGCAGGAACTTGTGCAGGGGCCCGCCGCCTGCCATCTCCATGACGAGCATGAGGGCCTCGGCCTGGCAGACGCCGATGAGCCGCACGATGTAGGGGTTGTCCAACTGGTGCATAATCTGTGCCTCGCGCATCATCTCATCCTTGTCTGTCTTCTCCGTGCTGTGCTTCAGCACCTTGATGGCCACATCGATCTGCTTCCTGCCATGACACGCACCTGAGTCAGCCCGGGCCCCGCTCAGCCCCTCATGCCCACCTGACCGGCCTCTCTTCCCTCCAGACACATGTGGTGGATACTGTGGTTGGCCACCCGGCTCTCCCTTCAGGGCCCAGGCACACACTTCCTCAGCTGCCAGGAGCGTCGGCTAGGGACAGCTCACAGCCAAGTTCCTCACTGAGAACTACCCCTCACTGAACAAAACACCTCAACATTACACCCTCCCCAGGGGCTGCCTGGGGTTGCCATGCACTCCCCTGCCGGGGAGCGGTCAGCTCAAGGGTACAAGGGGGGCCTCTCTGCAGCTGCCCTGGGATGGGCGAGGTCTCTGTTGCAACTGCAGCTCAGCCCACCTCTCCCTGGCCCCGGCCTGCCTCTCCCACACTCTCAGGTGCTATCCCTGAGCCCTCCCAGTATGCCCCTAGCATGCAGTCTCCTGGCCCAGGGTCTGTCTCCCAGGAAACTGACGTTGCATCCTGGCTCCAGCCCCCAAGGCCTGGGGAGGCCACTCCCGTCCTCTGCCCAGCCCCCACAGTGCTTCCCCAAACCACAGCAGGGACGGCCATACTTGCGCATGCGGTAGACGCCCTGGCGTACTGAGCCAAAGTTGCCACAGCCAAGTTCTATGTCAGCCATGAGGAGGTTCTCCCGCTTCAGGAAGAGCTTCTTGTCCTTGAGCTCCTCAGGGTCACTGTAGGGGCTCTCATACACACTCGTGTCCATGGGCATTGGCTGTGCTTTCTCTGAGGACACTAGGCGTGCTGGGCACATACACACACAAGCACGCACTCCCAAGTCAGGATGAAGGCGTGGGATGGGGGGACAAGGAGCGCATAGCAACCTTGACACCCACACAGCACATGCCCCAGACAGCGGTGCACCGTCCAGGGCATGCCCGGGCACGTGGGTACATGTGTGTGCTCATGTGCATGTGTGCACTCGTGTGTGCTCCTGGTCCCATCTGTGGGTGAGCTGGGAAGCCACGTCCAAATGGACTCTAAAGGCATGTGGGTCTATGTGCCCGTGTAGCCACATGTGCCCCTGTGTGCTCACACATATGCACCCATGGGTACTTTCACCCACATCTCTGTGTATGATGAGGTCCAAAGGCATGTCTACATGAGTAACTGTTAGTGTGCCAGCTGGAGTACACACATCTGTGCGTGTGGGTTCACTGGCATGTCTGACCCTACCCGGGTCTGTGGATGCACCACATAGCCATGTTTACCAGGGCTCCAGGATGGGGCTCTGCGAGCACATGCAACCATGTATGTTCTCTGCGCACACACATGGACAGGCTTGCATCTACACGTCAAACACATTAGCATCTGCAGCAAGGCATTTCAGGAACACGGGCTCTAAAGCCCACCTGCCCGGGCTCAAATCTCGGCTCCACTATTGCCGAACTGCAGGACCTCATTAAGTTACTTGCCCTCCTTTCTTATCTGTAAAATGAGAATAATTGCCATGACTACATCATCTGGCATATCAGAAACATTCCAGAAGTGCAGACACGCGTGAGCATGAAGCGTGACTGGCACATAGTAGGTGCTGGACAAATGTGTGTCTGTGGCCCAGGTGGTACTCCCCAGCATGTCCACGTGCCCCCCACGTACATGCATACAGGCAGGCATGATGGACACACACCCTCGTGGACGTCTATAGGCACATGCACGGGGCAAACCAAGTCAGGCCTGGCCCACATCCCTCCCCTGCCCCAGCCCAGAGCCCAGCCAGAGACCTTGACCGCAGCCTGGCATGAACCCCACACGCACACCTCCAGCTCACCTGGCTCAGGGGTATACCCATCTGAGCTGGTATCAATCCGTCTGGGAACCTAAATGTCATGAGGTCAGCAAGGGTCAGCAGGACCCTGAGCTGGGGGCACCCAGCCCCTGAGACCCACATCCTCTGAGCAGTGCTGGGGGTGCCCCACTCTCCACCCCAGCCTTGCCTTGGGCACAGGACCCATCACCCACCTGCCCAGCTCCACCCCTCAGGACCCAACCCTGGGGTGCCTGCTAACTCACGTGGGCCAATGTGGATGGGTGGACTGGGAGTGTGGGTGCAGCAGCCTCTGGGGGAGCAGAAGGGACAGTGAGCGGTGGGTCATGGGGCCTCCCACTCACCCCCCGCCCCCCGCCGCCCCCCTCACCTGCACTGGCACTGGTGTTGGGGCAGGCGTCCTTCAGGCAGTAGATGAGCCCATCCGCCTTCAGCTTCAGGTACTCCACCAGCTGTAGGGAGGTGGGCTCAGGGCCAGGGCTCCTCTCTTCCCCGGGCTCCTAAGCAACCCCCCAACCACAAGGTGGCTGGGCAAGCTTACCTGCCAGAGCGTGTCAAACTTAGTCCCCTCAGGGATACAGTATTTGCCCGCCTTGTCCTGGCTGATGAGGTAGTGGTACACAGCTTTCCCATAGATCAGGGACAGTGCGTAAGTGCCCTGCTCCTTCCGGGGTCTCAACCTAGCAGGGGGAAGGAGGCGATATCACCCCTATAATCACCTGGGCCTTTCCTGTGGTGACCCCCTGCTGGGTCCCAGTTTCCACACACACACACATGCACACGCACACACACACACACACACCCATGGGCTCTGCTCCTGATAGTCTCATAGAGAAGTGGCAGGGACTAGGGGCCCCAAGGTCAGGCCCCACTCAACGTCCAGACTTCTTGGTAACAGGCTGGTGGGGTGGGGGATGAGAGGAGAATGGAGGGTCCACAGGGAGACACAGTTGTCCGAGAGCCAACACGTGACCATCCATGGAGGAGGGAATATTGTCCCTCCCACAGTGGACACTCAGCCCCAAACAGCCTGATACTCAGCCACACACAGCTGAACCCTTGGCCATCCAGGGGAGAACACTGAGCCACCCACAAGCAGACACCTGGTCCTCCATGGCTGAATATGTGGCCTTCCATAGGTGACACTCAGACTCAACCATCCACAGGGGATACTTAGCCATCCATGAAGGGATATTTGGCCATTGATGGTGGACACACAGCCACTCACAGAGGACACACAAATCTATGCAAGTAGACTGAAAGTATTCTCTTGGGGGAGAGAAAGCCATTTTTACATGAAGAACAACAAAGGTAAACACAACTCCATGGCTAGCTCCCGGGGCACCTTTGCACAAATCAGAACAAGTCACCTCATCATCACAACAGACCCACTAGTTACTAAAACAGACTGACCTTTGACAGAATGAGACCTTTGATTGTCCTCTGTTAGAAATTTGCTAAAATAAATAAACAAATCTTCCTTGTCCATGAATGGGAATTGAGCCCCTCAAAGATGGTGGTTTTGTGTGTAAGAACCTGTCCACTCACACACATGTCCACATACACAGACTGATCTAACCCCACACACACACACACGTGCGCGTGCACACGCGCACACGCACTTAGAGCCAGATGCTTCTACCCTCTCATCCCACAGTGAAACCAATCAACATCTCCCACAAAACAGTTTTGTCTCAAGTCACTGGCACAAGGTTCTATGCCAAAATTAAGTGTAAATTTCCAATGGAGAATGGATAGCAACTGGTCCTGGGGGTCTCAGGCCTTGTAGAACAAGTTGTAGGCAGCTGACCAAGAATGTTGGGACTTGCACTGAGGTACAGAAGAGCTGGCTAGTGGCAGGCAGCAGGAAAGAGGCCTCAGGATGGCCTGCAGGTGTTGTAAACTCTCTGACAGGGCTTGGGCCCTGCCCATGGATATTCATTCATTGGACAAATGTTTACTGAGTGTTAACCACATGCCAGGCACTGTTCTTAGGGCAGGGATACAATGGTAAACAAGAGAGATGTGAGCCCACCTTGTAATCAAGCCCTTCCTTAGACCAAAGGGATGGAAAAAGATCCCCTAACTTGCCATGGCAAAACCTGAGGGTGGTACAGAGGAGCAGCAAGTTCCCCAGAGCACAAGGCAGTGAAGGATGATACTATTCCCAGGCTAGCCCACAGCAGTCAGTGAGACCTGAAGAGCTAGGAAACCAGGGTACAGAGTGATAGGGGAGCACCAAAGGGCAAAGAAGAGAGCCCACAACAAACTAAAATGCAAAAGTCCCACAGAAAGGAAAGCACTTCAATAACTAGACTGGTGGGCTAGCCTGGAGGTTACGGTCTCTAATTACTCAAACTTCAAATCCTGAAGTTCTGAATGGAGAGCAGAAACTCAACAGCCAGTGCTCACTGGCAAACTCTCTTTGGAAAGAGATATGTGAGTTCATGAAAGAAGAGCGACCAATTCCCACATAATAACCACATAGGCAAAGACATGGGTGTGGTCACCACATATATTTCCATGCCACAAATTCTGCTTTATTTACCAAAAACCCAGTAGGTGGTAGCAGTTCTTTGTCCTTGCTGTTCAAACTTGAACTTAAGCTAGAAGTACCAGCTAGGAAATCAATGTGGATCTCTACTTCCGAATATAGGGAACCTGATAATAGTGACAAAAATAAGAGCTACCATTTATTGAGATACTGGTTCTAAATTCTTCACACAGTTGTCACTTAATCTTTACAGCATCCCCCACAAGGTAAGTACTATTAGTGTGCCCATTTTGCAGATGAAGAAACTGAGGCATATGATTACATCTCCTGCACAGCTGGTTAACAGTAGAGCCAGGATTCAAATCCATTTCTGACTCAGTTAATTGCTAATAGGACTGACAGCCAGCTCTGTCACATGGTCATCTGTGCCACCCCGAGCAAGTCACTGATCCTCTGTCTCAGGCTCCTCACATGTAAAAAGAGACAACTGAACTACATCAGAGGTTCTTAACCTGAAAAGGGCTCCGGGGCTGAGGATCAGCTTCAACTAGGATCTCCTAGAGCTGTACGCAAAATCTCTGGGATAAACATGTTTTGGGTTGAGAAAGGAGTTCAGGGATGTCTGGGTGGCTCTGTCAGTTAAGCATCTGCCTTTGGCTCAGGTCACGATCCCAGGGTCCTGGGATCGAGTCCCACATCGGGCTCCCTGATCAGTGGAAACCCTGCTTCTCCCTCTGCCTGCCACTCCACCTGCTTGTGCTCTCTCGCGCTCTCTCTCTGACAAATAAATAAAATCTTTTTAAAGAAAGAGAGAGAGAAAAAGGGATTCAGCTTCAGAAAGATTCCCACAGGGGTCTGTGATCCAGAAGAAGTTAGGAAACACTTAACAATATCCTGTTAAAGGCCCTTTGCAGGGGTCAGGTTTCTTTTCAAGTTGAATCAACCAGTACCACAAATCCGGCAATTATGCAGAAAGCTGTGACAGCAAACAGCATGAGGTAAAATTCCAGCCATTCTTCAGCAGCTCTGAACTGAGGTCAAGAACAAGCGTGGCCCTGGTCTTAATTCCAGGCCTGAGTGGCATGCAACTTTCTATCACACCCTATACCCTTATCTCAGAACTGGACCCGTTCTGGCTTGTGACAAGCATCAGGATCCACCAGGGATATTTCCCTCCCCACTGCCCCATGCGAGGTTCTATGCCTACAGCTTTGACCTTTAGCCCCCTAACTATCTCCATACTGAGAAAGCAATTCTTGACTACAGGAACCACAAGAAGAATCTACAACAGCCTCTGTCCAAAGCATGCCTTGCCTAATTTTCCAATAGTCTGGCTCAAAGTAGCTGCTCTGGTCTCTTGACATTGGCCAGCGTGAGTCACTGTCCCTAATAATGTCACTGCTCCAACTGCCTCTGAACCTCAGTGTCAGCTCAGTCTCTACACTGTACCCGATCCTAGCTCCCTCAGCCTCAGCCTCCTGTGGCTCTTGCTGGCCCTACCTGCCTCTGTGACTTCAAGCTTGACATCCAAGGCACCCACAGCTGGTCAAAGCCCTTGGCCCTGGCTCTCCTGACTCCCCTCCTACCTCAGTAGACCAGTTAACTGTCATAAACTCTACAGAAAGTTTGCACAATTTTCCTTGGGGCATGGAATCTTCCATGGAAGCTTAAGACATAAAAGAGGTCAAAGCTGAGGTAGAATGGGGACAGCCGCTGGTTAAGTAGCAGAGCCTGGATTCCCACCCAGGCCCTATTTCATTGAGTCATCACTTTTGTCCTCCTGCTCCACAAGGACAGAGATTTGTGTCTGTTTTGTTCACTGCCATGTCCTCAGTGCCTGAAATGGTGCCTGGCACATAGTAGGTGTTCAGTAAATATTTGTTGAATGGACAGAGGAAGTCGAAGCAGGCAGAAGTTCAGCTACTTGCCCAGCATCCCCAACTGGGAAGTAGCAGAGCCTGGATTGCCACCCAGGCAGCCCAGCTCTGGAGTCCTAACCACTGCAGATCTCTTCCCGTATAATGTCCCTTCGCACACTCAGAAACACACTACCGCCTTGCACATGTTAGCACAGGTGCACCCCTCATGGCCCACCTGCACGCTGAGGTCTGCCCCAGCCTCCAGGATTCCGGCCAACAAGCCCCAGCCTCACCACCCCAAAGCCCCAAGCTTCAAGCCCCACATACAGGAACTTGCCGTCAGTCTGGGAGCCCGAATAGAGTTTGCGCTCTGCCTCCTCGCGCGTCAGGCTGCTGTGGTACCAGGGCATCCGCTCGTGAGCTGTTGTGGCAATGAGCTTCTCCACCTGGGGAGCCTGGCTGATGATGGCCTGCTCCAGGGCCTCGCCCTAAAGAAGGGAGGATCGAGGAGACTTGTAACTGTCACCAAGTGTCACCAAGGGGCCAAGTGCGCAGCCAGAGGAAGCCTCTTTCATCTCCTGGACCTTCCTAATTGCCACCGTTCCCGTGAAACCCTTCACCCTAGGCGCACCTAGGGTGAGTCGTTCAGGCTGCGGGGGACAGCCGGCCCCCACCCCCCCCATCTCCACGATCCCTCTCCAATCCTCCACCCATCCAGCGCCACGCCCCAGGCCCCTCCTTACAGGCGGCCCCAAGCGCATCTCCAGCTTGACGATCTGACCCTGGTGCTCGTGTATTGCAGGCTGTCGAAGACCACCACCCACCACCCCCACTGGCGGCGCCCCCAGCATCCTCTCAGGCCCGGCCCCCAGCCCCCGCCCAACGCGACCTCCACAGGCAGGTCCAGCATAAACGTGTACCAAAGCATCGCTCAGGCCCCTCCCTCCGAAGCCTCCTCCTAGGTCCCGCCCCCACCCACCCCTCCGGCTTCCAAATCTGGCGTGGCACAGCAAAGCACAGGCTGGCGAAGACGGCCGTTCTCCCCTGCCCGCGCACCAAGACTCTCCGGGCTCGGGGGTGGCCAGCCGTCTCCAGGCCCAGCTCCAGGCCCAGCCCCAGGCCCAGCCCCAGGCCCCGCCCACTCCGGCCCCGCCCCCGAGGGCTCCGCGCTCGCACCTCCAGCTTCCAGGTCTGGCGCACGTAGTCGCGCACCATGGCGTCGCGCAGGCAGTCGAAGACCCCAGGCTGCGGCTCGAGTCCCGACGGCCGGTTGCATGGCTTGCGCAGGTTGCAGGGCAGCCCGTCCGGGTCGCGCGAGTAGAACTCGCAGAGCTCGGCGGGGCCGCAGTGCGCCTTACCGCCGGCGATGGCGTAAGTGCCGTTGAGCTGGCGCTCGATGGGGAAGTGGTGGAAGCGCACATCGTGCACGAGCGAGAGCACGTAGCCGCCCAGCGAGCGCAGGCACTGGCGCAGCAGGAAGAGCCCGTCGGCCATGCCAGCCAGCTTCAGGTGCTCCTCGGCCTCAGCGCGCGAGATGCTGCCGTAGAAGAAGGGCAGGTGCGCCGCGGGGTCCGGCATCGCCGCCGCCGCCCCTGTGCCTCGCCAGACCCTGCGCGTTCAGAACGAGATGGAGGGCACGTCAGGGTCTCGGCTTGCCTTCTTGAACAACGTCCGTTGGGCCCATAGATAGTGGGAGAGAGGCCGCGTTGAGGGGCATCCGTGCCAATCGTGCAGAGCCTGCTTTATGCCAGAATCAACTTGGAGAGGAGTTCCAGCCTGCTGGGCTCAGATCGGAGACTCCCCAACCCTCCCCTGACTTTTCAGAGACTCTGTGCGAAGCGCCCAGACACTCCCACTAGCCCCCACACACCAGCACCTGGAACCATTCGTTCATTTCCCAAACACGTGTTGAATTATTGTGTTTCAGGCCGGTGCTGGAGATAAGAGTGAATAAGACAGACATGGTCCTGCCCTTCTGAAGACAACAGTCTGGGGGATACATTAAACAAGAAAAGAGGCAGAAATAATTACAGACTGAGGTCCGTGTCATAAAGGAAATAAATAGAATGATACTAAGAGAGAGAAGAGGCCACTGTCACCTTCTCTGAGGAGGTAGCATTTGAACTGAGATCTGAAGGATGAGGTGCCAGCTTTTCAAAAATCATGGAAGGGAGCACATCACGGAGAGGCAACAGCAACAACAAAGGCCCTGAAGCTGGAACAAGCTTTGTTCTTCAAAAGAACCTTACTCTGTTAACCTTCCCATGGAGTCCCCTCGGCCTTAGAAATTCCCCTTTGCCCTGCGCCCTCTGCCTTCACGGACAAATTTCTAGAAAGCTTTATAAACTACTCTGAATATCCATCAATAAGAGATTGGTTAAATACATTAGGGTTTAATTCCAATGTGAACTTTAATACAGCCACTAAATAAAATGAGATGTGCAATTAATTGAAAATTATGATCCGGGGCGCCTGGGCGCCTCAGTCTTTAAGCGTCTGCCTCCTTGCTCAGGGGAAGCCCGCTTCTCCCTCTCCCACTCCCCCTGCTTGTGTTCCTGCTCTCGCTATCTCTCTCTGTCAAATAAATAAATAAAATAGTTTTTTTAAAAAAAGAAAAGTATGATCCAATATGGAGAGAAGGACTTAAAGATATTTAGATAAACATCCAGTAAGACAGACAACCCAAAATTATCTGTTTTGAAATTTCTGGGGTTATAGTATAATGACAGATATCTTTTTTTTAATAGATTTTATTTATTTATTTGACAGAGATATAGAGAGAGAGCACAAGTAGGCAGAGTGGCAGGCAGAGGGAGAGGGAGAAGCAGGCTCTCCTCTGAGCAGGGAGCCAGACATGGGGCTCGATCCCAGGACCCCAGGACCCCAGGATCATGACCCGAGCTGAAGGCAGCCACTTAACCAACTGAGCCACCCAGGCGCCCCATAATGACAGATGTCTTGATAAGCATTGGATTGATTATACAGGTGTCTGAATTTCTCAAAGAATGTACTAAAATTTGTTCATTTCAGTGTATTTGGACCCTTCAGTTAAAAAAAGAACCATAAAATATTGAATGCTAGTTAACAATCTGTATGCAGAAATATTTAGGTCTGGTGGATACTGATGATTGTAATTTACTTTGAAAAGCATCCAAAAAATAACATCAACTGATGGGTGGACAGATATAGGTAGACAGATTCAGTCAAGTCTTACTATTCAGAGTAGTTCTGTAAAGTTATTGCAAACACTGAATTAGCAGATACTAAATGATTGCTCCTAGAGGAAATCCAAGGTTAAGTTCCTCAAGTCTCTGGTCACAACATTTTCTTTTTTTTTTAAAGATTTTATTTATTTATTTGAGAGAGAGAGAATGAGAGATAGAGAGCACGAGAGGGAAGAGGGTCAGAGGGAGAAGCAGACTCCCTGCTGAGCAGGGAGCCTGATGCGGGACTCGATCCCGGGACTCCAGGATCATGACCTGAGCCGAAGGCAGTCACTTAACCAACTGAGCCACCCAGGCGCCCCTGGTCACAACATTTTCATCACCTGATCAGTATATAACCCTGTTTCTGCTTAAAGACACAATTTGATATGTATTGATTCATTAACATTGACTGCTCAGGCAACAGGACTACAACTATAAGATTGTCTCACACATACTTTACCTAGAAGACACATCACAGCCTTCTTGCACTTAGGAACACAAGACAGCACATCAGCACTACACTGCCATTTAAACAGTGAAATCACCAACAAAAAGCACAAAAATGTGGCACCAAATAGAGGACACTTGTTTACAGTATGAGAAAAGGCGGAGGAGTGTCCCCTTGTTTGACCTCAGTGGGAAGGTGCATCGTCAGTTGACTCAAATTTCTTGCTTCTCTGCATGTGTTCCTGAATGACTATGAAAGGGCCTCAAGTATTTGGGGGTTACAAGTAAATACTGGCAAAAGTAGGCTAAATACAGAATCTGCTAATATTAGGATCAACTGCGTGTGACAAAGCGAATATAACAATATTAATTGTAGAATCTACAGGGTGGTTAATGGGTATACAACTAAGTCTTCCCATTTTGCTGTATATTTGTAAGTTTTTATATAATACTGAAAAAACTTATCTCCCCATAACAACTTCCAGACATTTCTCTAAGGTGGGCCCAGCAAGACCACCCAGGCATAGGTTGTGTCCAGGGGAAGATCCCTGGGTGCCTTTCTTAGTTAAGCAAATGTAAGCAGGGGGTTCGAAGAAGGCTTCTGTGGCTTGAGAAAGGCTGCATTTCCCTCTGGGTGTCCAGGGACAGGCCAGGATGGACATGGGGACTGAGGAAGACACTGGAACGGGAATCAGGTGAGGTCTGGGTTGGGGTAGCCAGAGGAGGAGCAAGAATCTGCATTCTAACCCGATTGCTCCTGACATTGGGGTTGGCAAGGCCAGGCTTAAGGGGATTCCTGGATGTCCCAACAGTTACAGGCAAGTGACCAATCAGGGACCACACTTGTGTCTCCACCTGGAGATGCAGGTCACCATTCCATCAGAGTGGTGAAGAGTCAAAAATGTTCCTAGGTATTTACCCTAGAGAAATGGAAACTTGCATTCACAGAAAAACCTACACAGGAAATATTTATAGCCGCTCTGTTCACAACCGCCAAATTTTGGAAACAAATCTATCTCCTCAGATGAATAGATAAACTGTGGTACATCCCTACCATGGGATACCACTCAGCAATAAAATGGAAGGAAATGCTAATACCCACAACACATGGTTGAATCTCAAAGGCATCACGCTGAGTGAAAGAAGCCGAACTCAAAAGGCCACAAACTATAATTCCATTCAAAACCGTATCAGTGGAAAACAATGCATCCGTGGTTGCCAAAGGCTGGGGGCCAAGGGGAAGGATTGACTAGAAGGGACATGAGGGGATTGGGGAGAATAGTCAATATTTTGATGGAGATGGTAGTTTCTCAGCTATATGCATGTGTCAAATCTCACAGAAGTTTTCACTAAAATGGGTGAATTTTCCTGTATGTAAATTATACCATCATTTTTTAACGAAAGGAACTGGAAAGTATAGACAAACCAGACAGTAAAAATAACGACATGGGAAAGAAAATGCTGTCTACACTCCTGCTCTACTTTTTGACTCCCACCCCCTCACCAGCCTCACAGTCTGCTCCCCACCCCCACCAGGATGCTCTCCAGGCTAGAGAGGAAGCACTGATATCACCACCTGGTGGGCACGAGGCAAGCACCTGATGCCCCCCTCAACGCTGGGTCCCCTGAGTGACGGACCTTGGTGACCCCTCCCTCCTGCTTGAGCCTCTTGGCTCTCCCCAGTCCTTCCCTGATGTGTCTCCTCCCTCTCTGATGGTTCCTGCTCTGTCTCCTTCCCCAGCTCTGGTCCCCTTACTTGGGACGTTCTGTCTATGGCTATAAACATGCCACCATGCCCACCTGTCTAGTCCAGATCTCTCTCCTGAGGTCTGATTATGCTGGTATCACCTCCTTTGATCTCCACCTGCTGTGTCTATTAATAAAACCTGAGATCCAGATCTAACTCACATGGTGTTTGTGGTTGGCTAAACCCCACAGTTTGTTTCCCATGAGCTGAGCTCCAGGGTCTGCAAGTTGCTTCTCGGCAATTTTACCCCGAGGCCTCCCTTGTTCAAGAACTTACTGTGGCTCCCTCTGCCCACTTCACTTAATCTAACTAAACTCTTCAACCTTCCCTCTGCTCCAGCTGGGCTGTGCTATTCTCCTTCTTTCAAATGCACTTCGATACTTTTATCCATGCAGTGCCCTCTACTGAGTACACCCTCCCTACTCCTCTCCATCCTCCCAAATCCAGCCATCCCTGCCTCACAGACTTGTATAACTGCTCCCTATACGCAGGACACAGGACCAGGCAGCAAGATGGGGGCTTGTCCAGGGGCTGTGGGGAGGGGTGGGGGTAGTGAAGCCGGTCTCTGGGGCAGGAAGCTGTGGCAGGAAATTGTCGACAACACAGTTTGAGAAGCTCCTCCCCACAGTGGCCACAGGTGCAACCTGGGTAGCCAAAGACGGGGTTAGTGCAGAAGGGGGGGTGGGGAGAAACTGGCCCTTGGGCCCCAGTCCAGGGCCATAAGCCATGATTGGCCATCTCAGACCAAAGGCCAAAGCATCCAAGACGCAGGATAATAACACAACATTGCACAGCAGGTGGGTCCAGGGGTTCGCCAGCCCCATGTCTGCTTTTGCCTTCCTGTGCCCTTCTAGGCTGTCCTCACTAGTAAAAGACAGGGGATGAGAGCCGGAGTGACCAACTTTCCAGTTCCCAGAGATGCTGAGGAGGCCAGAGGAAGTAGACAAAAGGAGGCAGAAGATGAAGAGCCAGGGGGACAAGAGGCTGGAACATTTGTCCACGCAGCACCGCTGCGGGCCAGGCCAGCACGGACCCTTTGCTTTCAGAGGAGCTGGGCCAGTGTGCAGCCTCCTGATGGGACTAGATGTGGTTGGGAAGATCACATGTTTCTATCCTGAGTCATGTCCCGACAGACTCCATGGCTTTCCGAAGAGACAAGCCCACCATGAGACTCCCTTAACCCATTCCTGCCCGGCCTGACCCCATCCAGCCTCCCCATGAGCTTTGAGTTCAGAGATCCTCATCTGGGCTTCCCCGAGTTTACAGCTCCACTGAGAGATGAGGGGACACCAGCCTTGTTCTCACAGGCCAGGCCCTGGGAAGAGAAGGAAGAAACCTGTGGTTCTTGGTCAGAAGGATCTACCTGAAATTCCACCATTCAAGCATCCTCCTTGAGTAAAGGTAGGGTTCAGTTATATCTATTCCAGAGAGACCTGATACTCCAAACATTCTTCAAAGGAAAAAAGGCTCAGGTGGTCAAACACATTTTCAAAAGCCGTGGAAAGCATATGAGCATATTAAAGGCTCTGAGAGGCACCTGGGTGGCTCAGTTGTTTAAGTGTCTGACTCTTGGTTCCTGCTCAGGTCATGATCTCAGGGTTGTGAGATTGAGCCCTGCGTTAGGGCTCTGTGCTCAACATGGAGTCTGCTGGAGATTCTTTCTCTCCCCCTCCCTCTACCCCTCACCCTCCATGCCCCCTCTGAAATAAATAAATAAAATCTTAAAATAAATAGATAAATAAAGGCTCAGGGCGCCTGGGTGGCTCAGTCAGTTAAGCGTCTGCCTTCAGCTCAGGTCGATCTCAGGGCCCTAGGATCAGCTTTGTCAGGCTCCCTGCTCATTGGAAAATCTGCTTCTCCCTCTCCCTCTGCCCCTTCCGCCCCCACTTGTGCTCTCTCCCTCTCTCTCTCTCTCTCTAAATTAAAATCTTTTTTAAAAAATGTAAAAATAAAAGCTCTGAGAAGACCTGTGTGGAAGGACCATTTTAGCTTTGTTTTATCCCCACTCCTATGTAGCAGAGCCTTGAGGGTCTACTATTCCACAGAACATACTCCGAGCATCAAAAACCCCAATTAGATGTCCATTGTGAGAGCCCGGAGGGGAGACTGAGACAGTCAGACTACAGAGGGAATGAGCCCATCCAACTGGACTCAGTGGGAGGCGGTGGGATTTGCACCAGCCAGGCCTAGAGGCTCCATACGCTGCCCTCAGCCAACGACCCCACCAAAGGCACTGCTGGAATGGGGGCCCAGCCCCTCTCTGCCCATCCTTCCTCTCACTGATCCCCAATCTTCTGCCTGAGACCTGAAATCCCCCCTAAAGCCACACTTCCTGCTCTCTAGTCCACAGTCATGGTGGGGCCCCCTCTGCCCACCAATAGAGGCAGCACAAGCAATTTCAGCCAATAAAATGCCACCTTGGTTACATTCTAAGTCACAGTGACAGCAGTCGGCATTGGGCCATGGGTGGCAACTGGCTCCTTCATATCTTTTTCCTGACACCAGGGGATCAGATTTCAACCATAGAATCAGGGATCTAGCGTGCAGTAGTGGTGTGGTCCTGGGCAGTGAGTTAAGCTCAGCAGACCCCACCTAGAAAACCGTGCAAGCAACAGTGCCTGGCACCGGGAGATTCCAGGGATTCCATGCGGTAAGACTCACCAAGCACCAAGCACAGCACCTGGCCTGCCATTGTGTTATCATGTCCTTCGCTGCTCTCAGCCCTCCAGGACTCCCACCTCACGCGGGTAAAGCCCAAGTCCTCACAGCAGCCCCCAAGTCCTTATGCAATCTGCCCAATCCCTTCTTTGTCCTCATTCACGCCCCACCAGCCCCATGGGCCTCCTTATGTCACTTGTTCAGGTCACTTGATCAAATCAGGTTTGGTCCAACCTCAGGGCCTTTGCCCTGTCTGTTCCCTCTGCCTGGACCCTCTTCCCTCAAAACCCCTCACTTTAATCGAGTCTCTGCTTAAATACCACCTCCTCCTCCAAGAGTTCTTCTCTGACCTCCCTCTCTAAAATCACCTCCCCTTCTTCAGGCTAGAGATATCCCTGACCCAGCCTTATGATCCTTCACCACCAAAAATGTGATTTCTCCACCAACTTGTTGACATAGGACCTTTGCCCCCTGCTAGAATGTAAGCACCATGAGAGTGGAGATTCTGTCTCGTTCCCCAACCCTGACCAGCAAGGCACATAGTAGGTGCCCACGCCCTTCTCCTGGCCATATGCTTCAGTCCCCTCTGTTGTCCCCTCCTCCTAGAAGTGCTCCATGATGTCCACCCCTCCCTCCCCAAGCTAAGTCAGGAACCTCCTCTCTTGTCCCAGGGCCCGACCTCCCCACATCACAGCCCTGATGGCCGTGTATGACCACTGTCTGTTGACTCCTCTGTCTGTGACCAGGCTGACCTCCCCGAGGCAGAGCCTACGGCTGCCTTGTTTTCTACTGGAGCCCCTGCTTCCTCCCAATAAGTACGTGTCAAACAGGTAACAACAACAGCAGCTTCTGTGCTGGGGACTTTACTATGAGCATCATCCACTTAATCTAAACCTTGCCTCAACTCACATTAAATAGGAACTGTTAGCCCCATTCCTCAGCTAAAGCAACTGAAGCTCAGGGAGGTTAATGTCATGTTCAAAATCATGCGGCAGTCAGGATTTGAATGCAGGTGTCTGACCCAGCAGCCTGCTCTCACGACTCTGGAGAATGAATGTCCTTTAGGGGACAGAATCCCTTGTTCTGAGCTGTATCCCCTGGGGCTCGAACCCTAGGCTGGCAGGTGTCCCTGCACTCTGAGCTTCCTTTGACCGTCAGGGCCCAGAGTGCTGGGCTGTTGTGGGGTTGGGATAGGTCCTTGCATCCAGCAGACTTGCTAAGTGTCCGCTGATCCACTGGACAATGCTGTGATAACAGTCCCCCCACCCAACCCCTGCTGCCTTGGTTTTAAGGGCCACGTGAGCTCAACAAGGAGCTTCCCCTTGGAAGCCTGGGTGCCAGGCTCTGTGACTGTAAAAGGGAGATGAGGAGAGGCTTCGGGGGTAGGAGAGGTGGGATGATGAGTCGGGAGGACAGCAGGGTGTTGTCCTGTGCATTGTGGGGTGTTTAGCATCATTTCTGGCCTATATCTACTAGATGCCAACAAGACCCCCTGAGGCATGACCCAAAATGTCTCCAGACATTATCAAATGTCCCTGGGGGGGTGCATAGGGGGTGCCAAAATTGGCTCCATTTGAGAACAACAGCCTCGACCCTGTGCTTTGGGTGGGCGGATGTGCAGGGAGGGGTCGACATAGAGAGGTCTGGCTGCTGCAGCCCCCAGGAGAGTCTCCCGAAGCAACGAAGTCCAGAGCCTGACCTCCCAGAGCTAGTAGTGACAGTTAGAATTACAGCAACGTGCTCAGAAAGCACCTACTATGTGCCGGGCACTCTAGATCTGCAGCTGACCCCAGAACAACACAGGTTTGAACTGCTCAGGTCCAGTTACACACAGATTTTTAACAGTACAATAAATGTCTTTCTCTTAGGATTTTCTTCATACTATTTTATTTCGTCTAGATTACTTTATTATAAGAATACAGGACATAACACATATAACCTACAAAGTATGTATTAGACTCTCTATGTTATCAGAAGGCTTCCAGTCAACACTAGGCTCTTAGCAGTTACGTCTGGGGGGAGTCAAAAGTTATATGCAGGTTTTCAACTGCGTGGAGTTTCGGCACCCCTAAGCCCTGTGTTGCTCAAGGGTTAACTCCATTCGTCCACACCCCGTGAGTGAAGGATTTATGGACCCGGGACCTGACACACACAGAGGCACAGTGACCTGCCTAAGGTCCCACAGCACACAGAGCAGGTAGCTGAGCCAGGACTCGAATCGAGGCCGCCTGGCTCCACAGCGTACACTTAACCACCGTCCAGGCTGTGTCCCTGCTGGCCCCGTGTCCCTGCCGGGGCTGCGTGTGGGAGGCAGGAGGACAGGCACAAAAAGGAAAAGGAAGTATCGCACCGAGAAGAGCCTTCCTAGGTGGCACCCAAAGATTTTTCATGCCAGGAGTCCCTGGCCCTAAGCTCTCAGCAAAGCTTTACTAAGCACCCACTCTGTGCTCACTACCCGGGCTGAGACAGAAGTAATGACGCGCATCTTGAGTTGTTCACCACAGGAACCCTGTTTCTTCCTACTGAGACTCTTTCCTGCCTGGGATATTTTTCCCAACCTCTTACCCAAGAGTCAAGAGCCAGGCACCTCCAAGGTGCCAATATTTGCCTCTGCATTTAACAGATGCACAAACTGAGGCTCAGAGACTCCAAGCAACCTGCCAAGGACACACAGGAGTTGAGCAGGATGCAGACTGTTTTCTCCTTCACCTCTCCGGGTCCCCCTTGAACCTGAGCTCCCTTATAAGTGGCTCAAGCCTGTCCTGGGCCCCCTGATAGGAATCATCTGCACTTGGTTGTTCAAGTTCACAGCCCTGTTGAGCCACCCTCATATTTATGGGGCTGGTGGGGGCAGGGGGCAGAGCACATGTTTGCTCTCTCTGGAAGATTCTCTGCTTCCTGGAGCCAAGGGTGTCACCATGATGGGGCCCAGCAGGAAGCGAGGGACTGAGCAGGCATCTCTGTGTCCCCCGGACACGACCACTCAGCTAACACTCTGGCAGGGAATTTGCTTCCCTCAGGGTGGCCCCAAGGGGTGTCTGCTTCCTCTTCCACCTGGACACCACCCATCCCAATCCTACAGCCCCTCCTGGTCCTTCCCAGTGGCCTCCTAACTCCGTCTCCCTCCACCAGACCCAGGCTACCCATGGAACTGGTGGCCAGGTGCTGTTCCATCCAGGATGACTTACCTGGAGATGTGCAGATGATATCGAGGCAAATGGGCTACAGGTCTCTGGTCCGCAACGTCAACAAACAGCTGGTTCTCGATGAAGAATTGAGACCCAAGAAACTAACTTGGCTATCTCTGCAGCCCAAGCTCCCCGCCTGATGCCCTGTGGCTCACCGCCCCCTCACATGCCCAGGCAAAGGGTAAGTAGGCCATACCCACAGAATCTTCACCCTCCACCAGCTGCCCCAAGTCCCCCAGGGTGTGGCTGTGGTGACCGGACAGGGGCAGAAGGCCAGAAGGCGGCCACTCACCTGGGCCCGCCGGCAGCTGCACAAAGGCCCAAGCCAAGCAGGGACCAGGGCCGGAAGGCCTGGTGTGCTCTCAGCAGCTGGTTTCTCTGAAACTCAACTTATTTCCTTGTTGTGAAGACAGGAAAGGGGGCTGCGTCTGAAGTTTACGCCAAAGTCACAAAGTGCTGTGTTCAAGGAAAATCGAAAGTCATGTGTTCCAGGGAGGGCAGAGGGCATTTCCCGTGCCAAGCAGGGCCTGCCCTGCGCTGGGGGAAACCAAGGCTAGCTGCGGCGGGGCGGGCGGGGGGTATGCAAAGTGGCAATTCCAACAGCATCCCCAAAGCCGGGGAGGAGAAGGGAAGGAGTGATGTGTGCCAGAATGGGGGGTGGAGCAGTGGCAATGGGAGGCTGATCCCCAGGACTCAGTGGAAACAGGAATGCTCCCACTTCCCATCCCGGGGAGAGGGACATGGACCCAAGGCCTGCCCGGCTGAACTGCTCCTAAGAGTGATTTATTTATTCCACAGGCAGGTCAAAGCTGGAGAGAGGAGAAATTTGCTCAGTAGGGCCATACCCCAAAGGTTCAGAGCACCTACTGTGTGCCAGGCACTGGGACAGCGATGACAACCCTGTCCCTGCCCCAACATGAGTCACAGGCTAGAGGAGGCAGCAGGGAGATCAGGGCTGGGATGGTGACAGCCTGGGCACTATGTGTATTCAAAGGAGCCCCGGGGCACGTGGCGGGGGGTGGGGGTGGGTAGGGGTAACCAGAGAAGGATTCTGAGAGGGATCAGCCATTTTGTCAAGACAGAGACAGTATGTCCCCCAGTGCCCACCTGCTCCCAGCCTGCCCCACCTCGGACCTTCCCCACAGGCTGCACCTGGCTGACCCCCACCTCCTGCTCTGGCCACAACCTCCTCCTCATCTTCATTTCCTCCCTTCCCTCACACTCACACACACCCATGATGACAAAGGGGCCACTCATCACATCCACTCCCTGCTGCATGGCCACTGCTCATGCTTCGTCTCCTCTTCTCTCCCTCTGGTGCCCCAAGGCCTCAGGGGGCTCCCCTCCACCACCTCCTTTCCCTCTTGAACACATGGGGACATCTTTAGTGGCTTGCCCGCGCATGTAGCCTCAGGGGTGGAAGGGTGCGGCCATCCTAGACCCACTGTTGAAACCCCAAGAACGTTTCTTCTCTGGGGTTCTGCCACCCTGGGGGATGTGGGCTCAGCCCCCCACAACCTGCCTGAGGTTTCCTCCATGCTCCACCCCAGGCCTTCTGTCCTGGGGACCTCTCTCCAGTCTCTACTGTCCCCCAGCTCCCTAAGTTGCCCTCTCCCCCCTTCAAGAAATCTTTTTTTTCTGAGTTCCTGCCTGGGATACTTTTCTCCTACATCAGTTTCCCCAAAACTGTTTTTGCTAGAAACTTCCCCTTTCCCCACAGGCATCATGAAACTCAGGATGCAGAAAAAAAATCTGTTTCCACACTGGATAATCCTTTCTGGAGGGAAAGAAGAGTGCCCCAGCAGAGTGAAGAGAGCAGAAATCATAGCACCAGAATCACATCATGTATAGTCATCGGAGTAGCTTTTACTGAGCACTTTACTACATGCCAGACAACAATGTAGGCAGTTGACAATTTAATCCATATATAACCCGCTTAATTCATTTTCCAAATAAGGAAAGAGAAGCCCAGAGAGGTTGAATAACAGATACCAAATGGCCAGGCGGGACTGAAGCCCAGGCAGTCCGGCAAAAGAGCCCACCCACTGGTGGACGTGGGAGAAGGGAAAGACCTGGAAGGTGAGCAGGCTGCATGGGGAGGGCCTGAGGGCCGCCTCCAATCTCTGGGGACATCAGGCCTGAGAAGGGAACTCCTGGCCTCCTGTGAAGCACTGGTTCAGTGGCCCTCCAACCCCCTTGTGGTTGTCCGGCCGGTGCTCAGAGGCAGACAGTTTGAGATTGGCTTGCAGATAAGGCCGTGTGTTTTGCCAAAGTGGAAGGAGGTAGATGGGTCTTTTGAACGTTCAGAGGAAAGAGCAAACGGATGACTGATGGAAATGTGGGCTGGGAGAATTGCAGTGCATTTGTCCCGGCTGGGTCCACACATGCAAAGAGGCTTGGAAGAAATTGGTGGCTTGCTGTCATGCCTCCAGGCCTTTGCCCACGCAGTGTCCCAGCCTGAACTCCCTTCCCCCACCTCCTCAACTGCCTGACTCCTCCTCCTCCTCCAGGTCAATGATGAAATGTGGCTTCCTCCAGGAAGCCTTCCAATCCTCAAACTGAGCAGGGCCCTGTGTCAGTTTCATCTGACTTTTGAGCAGGCCACACTCAGCACCAGACCGCTGCTGGGGAAACCTCTGGCATTTTGATGGAGTTCAAGGTGGGGTCGGGGGGGAGGTTCCAGCCTGCCAGAGATGGATCACACCTCAGCATAATGATCCCCAAAGGGAGGACACCCCCGCCCCCCGGGGTCCCTCCTGAATTTCCTCCCACCTGGGGAATCACCTGGCTGACCAGACCACGGTGACTTTAATCTCCTTTCTCTTTCTGGTTCTGCTGCTTATACCTCAGGGGCCTTGAGCAAGCCACCTGGGCTCTCTGTGCCTTTTCTCATGTAGGATATGGGGATGATAATGGGACCTACCTCATAGGGCTATTGTGAAAATTAAAACAGGCCTCAAAGCAAATGCATCATTATTGCCATCATCATCACTGACTACCGAGTTTCCCAATATCGAGAGTGTGCTAGTGATGGCATGCACGCCCAAGGGCAGCAACGGGGTTCTCTTGCACCCTCCAGAGGCAGCTCTTGAGTACTATATCCTACCAAGCACCACTCAGGATCCTAAAGGTGGAAAGTGACACCCCTTAAAAATAAGTAATCCAGCATGGTTTAAGTCAAAAGAAAATTGATTTGCCACTCCAGCCATATGCTGTGCCCTTCCCTGGGGGCCATCAACTGGCTGGCTCCTTCTTAAACATTCAAATCACAATGACAGTGTTAACGTCTTCAGATAGTCCTTTTGGGCTCCCTATTTATTTAACACTGAGCACCCGCTCTAGGTCACTATACATCTGCTGTGAACAATGAAAATCGGTGAAAATCCCTTCCCTTGTGGAAGTGACGTTCAACGGGAGGAGACAGAGAAGTAACAAATAAGTATTCTATCGAGTATAGCAGGTGGTTTCAAGTGCTAAGGAGTAAAATAAATCAGGAGAGGGTAGAAGAGGTATGTGGGTGTGTGATTTTTAACAGACAGGTCAGGAGAGGCCTCGCTAAGGCACTAACCTGTGAATTAGGACTTGAAGGAGGTGAAGGAGGGAGCCATGGAGAGATCAGGGGAAAAGTATTCTGGGGAGAGGGAACAGCAAGTGAAAAGGCCCTGGGGCAGGACGGTGACCGCTGTGAGGTGGGGATTGTCTTGTTCCTGGTTGTGTCGCCAGCAACTGGAGTGACACTTAGCACATAATAGTGGTCAGTAAATATAGCATGGATGGACAAAAATCCCAGGTATAGCCTTTAGGAAAAGCTTGCTAAGGGCTCAGATGATGGTTCCAGGTTGTTACCTCCTCCACTTGAAGACTTCATTCTCAGACAACTTTTCTTTCTGTGGTCTGACATAGTGACTCAGCAGACCTTACTCAAAAAGCAAGAATCTTGAGTAAAATCTGTGAGATCTTTAAAACCATGAGAATGGGATCTGATTCACTGACATATTTTATATTTGGAAAATGTTGCAAAATACATATAGAGAGAGCTACCATTTGTTTAAAAAAGAAGGAGGGGGAAGAAAAAAGAACCTATCTCTCAATTTTCCCAGCAGAAACTCTAACACAGCTCATTGGCTGAGTGGATCACATGTCCATCCCCCAACCAGTCCCTGAAGCCAGTGGATAGGATGTGAGAGTGGCTTAGGACTAGGTCACATGCCTCACGCACACCACGTTGAGATGGAGGAGAAGAACCCAAGGGAAGTCAGAAGCTATGGCTGGGGGGCGCCTGGGTGGCTCAGTCGCTAAGCGTCTGCCTTCAGCTCAGGTCATGATCCCAGGGTCCTGGCATCGAGTCCCATGTCGGGTTCCCTGCTCCGCGGAGAGCCTGCTTCTCCCTCTCCCACTCCCCCTGCTTGTGTTCCTGCTCTATCTCTCTCGGTCAAATAAATAAATAAAATCTTTAAAAAAAAAAAAAAAAGCTATGGCTGGAAGGAGAGAGAAAGGATGCTGGGCAGGCAAAGAGCCAAAGTGTTACAGAATAATCCTAAGAGCAAAGATTTATTTATTCCTTTATATTGAATGCTACTGTATGTTGACCCCAGCAAAGGTGCAATGCTCACAACAACCCCACAAGGTAGGTTAGCCCCCATTTTACAGATAGAGAAATTGAGGCCAAGAAGAAACTGAGGCTTGAGATTTCACAGCTAGTGAGAGGCAGAGGCTGGGAGCCCAGAGCCTCCACAGGGCTCGATCCTGAAATCCGCCGTGCTGTTTGGTGTCTGCCCCTCACCCGGCCAGGGTCAGCTTGGCTAGACCAACCACTGAGCCGACGGTGGAAGCCCCCAGCATGACAGCAGACTAAGAACACAGGGAGACATCTCTTAGATAGAGGAAGATGCAAGGGGAGGCTCGTGGTGGGCCCATAGGCAATGGAGAGACCACTGGCAGAGGCTAGAGGTCATTGGCCCTAACTTGTTCTTCAAATGGAAGCCCGAGGTAGGGGTGGGAGGCCAACAGGAGGATGGGCTGCCTCTCAGTTCTAGGTTTCCCAGAGGTTGGGATGAGGATGGGATGAGGGTAGGGGTGCAACCTATCAGTAGCTCAAGGAAGAGTCTGGTATTTATGGCATGCCTGCTGTATACCTAAGCCCTGACAGCCTTATCTCCTCCCAGGCTTCCAAGGGGATACCAGCAACCCACTGACAGAAAAGCTGTTCTACCAACTCTCCATGGTGTCCCCAGCACCCAGCCCAGCACAGTGCCTAGCATACAGCAGGGGCTTAATAAATGGTTCTTGCTGAATGAACCCTGGGAAGGAGGTAAATGCCTACCCCCATGGCAAAAATAAGGACACTGAGCCTCAG